TCCACTCTGAGGTAGCACCATGGGGGCCAAGCAAACCAAAGGCCAGGAACCCGGGGGATCCAGTCCTCAGCACAGCTGGAAGCGGACCCCCTCCAAGGAGAGGGGGGACCTCTTCGCCTCCCTCATGCTGAGGTCGGGGGACCGGCTGGGCCGCGGCGGGACGCCGCCCCCCCCCCTACCAGCGCCGCATCGGGATGATCCAGGAGATGATGCTGATGGCCCGGCAGGGCAAGCAGGACGAGGCCACGGAGATGCTGAGGACCCTCCGGCAGGTAGCCTGCCGGGTTTTGGGGTGTGAGTGAATGTCTGTGGCTGACCCCCCCTCCCTCCCTCCCTCCTCACCCCCCTGTTAACGCAGGCAAAGGGAAGGCAGGAGAATGAGAATAAGAAAGAGGCTAAAATGAAACTTTGGGGGGGCCTGTGTTTTGATTCGGTGAAAGACTGTCTCAAACTTTTCCCCACACACGTCTCTTGAGAGATAATCTGTCGATGTTTGGTTAAGATAAGACATCCCGGAGGAGGAGAATAACAATTCCAGTTTGGAGAGAGGCAACGAACCAGAAAAAAAGGCTTTTACTACAGTAAAGGAATTAAAACGATAAGGTCACAGCAGCTAAATCCAACAAGTTTCTCTTCCAGTCGCAAAACAACAGGTTAGAATAATTACACAGGCTTGTAAAGAGAGTTTAAAGCAGTTTAAAGAAGATTTGGGTGCACCCAAGCAACATTTCAAGTCTGTATTTTAGATTTTGAAGTGTAATATGGTCATTTACCTTCCAGAAGATTCTCTGTGTCAGCTGCTCAGGAAAGCAGCTGACACACAAATCAGCATGTTTAAAACATCAAACCGTAAAGGTTTTCTGTTTTTATTTGGAAAAGCTCATGCAAAGTTTCAAAGGATGCTGCTGGAGTAGCAGCTTGGATATTTAGTATCACAGACACCTGGTCAAATTAGGATTGTTTTGACCCTTAGATGTAGTTGTAGACTAGAATTATCGGAGGTAAGCGAATACTTTTAGGGTCGATTGTCGGAATAATTTGTTAGTAGTATATGATGCAGCCTTTTATATCCTCATTTTTAAGTCATTGGGCAAAGATATGACAGAATAAATGGGGAAACAGCATCGTTTTGGACACCTAGCTGAACATGGAGATGCAGACAGCTGTTGTTTTTTTGTTTGTAATATGACTGTTGACCTTTAGTGTGCCAACGTGGCGGCACCTTGCCTCCACCTGAGCTGAGGTTTTTTTATTGGGTTTTTTTTTATCGCCTGTTTCATTAACAGGTCTTCCTGCCCTGGAAGCCGTCTCCTCTGTTTTTTTTATAAAAAGAGCCTGCGCTTTAGCCGTGGCGCTGGCTGCTCCTCACCTCCGGCTCCTCTTTGTCCACCTTTCAGATGGATTCAGAATGGGACTTTGAAGCTGACCGCTCTAATTAGCGAGGGCGGCGCTCTCTAATGAAAGCGAAGCCCACTCTGTTTCGAATGGATCACAAATGAACGGCGAGTGTGTCCTTAAGCACTGCACATAGAACATTATGTCCAAGGGGGTCATGGAAATGACCCGTACTTATTAGGAGTACACACCTCCACCAGCTATCTGAATCCCTGCTATCTTTGGGTTCAGAAAAGAGCATTATACAGCACTTAAAAGCCATGAAAACTACGAAATGACCCACAGTGTTGGGCTTCCCGCTGACCCCGAACACAGATGCCCCCAGATGAATCGTATTGCTTTGATTTTAGCCTCGGCAACCCTTTTTTTAGAAACGAGTACCCAAATGAACCCTTTTCGATGGATGTGTTTCCATTCACCGAATAGCAGCTTTAGCGGTCACTTCGTGGCACCAGTCTGTGATATCACTAAAAAGTCAAACAGAAAGTTTGACGAAGCCACAAGGGGGTCAGAAAATCAGATTTGGGGTCACGCAGCAGAGCCGCTGTCTGCAGGTCCACCCGCATCCTCTGACTTAGACTTAGACTTAGAGTTGTACTTTATTGATCCTTTGGGAAGACTCCTTCAGGAAATTAAAGTTACCAGCAGTTTACAGGGCAAAATGCAAAAAAATACAAAAAATACAGATTAAGTACAGGTAGCCTACACACTAAATGTGAATAGCCCAAAAAATAAGAATATGAATACAAAGTAAAAAATAAAGACCCCTTAAATAAGCAAAAATAAGCAAAGAATAAGAATATAAATACAAAATGAAAATAAAGACCCCTAAGAAAATGTAGGACTTTTTTCGGATAGATTGACCAGTGATATGGTATTGCACTATGTGGTTTGGCCTCATAAATATGGACTTCACATTTTACAGAAAAATACACGTTTTGAACTCTCAGAGCTTCCTCCCAGCTGTAGGGTGAGCATCGACTGGGCCACCTTTTCTTACTTTGAATTGGTTTTCCATGCGGCCCGGTAAATAGGTGGGCATAATCTTGTTGACGGCAAATACAGAATTGATCAAATCACAAATAGTATTCATGTCAAAGTCAACAGAGATTCATCAGGGTGCAGAAATGAACAACCTGCCTGACATTTATTGTGTAAACCCAGTTAGGAGCATGAGTTTTTTTTACATGAGCTCAGACAGGTTAGGGTCTTTTTTAACGAATACATTTGAATACTGTGTGTTTTTAGCTAGTTCTAAAGAAACATCAGTTTAAAGTAGTGGGAGTTTTAGGCCAAACTGACCTGGTGTACCTAAAACGAGTCGTTTTTTCCACTTGAAAATGGTTCTTAAGCATTGACAGCGACATTAAGAGCAGCTGTCTGAGAAAAAACAGGTTTAATTAAGAGAGAAAAGCTGCCTGACGGCCCAAAAGGCTCCTTTTGTGGCACCACGCTGTGAAGTCTTCTACGAGGAGCCTCTCCCCAGACCTCGCTTCTTCAGGTTCAGCTCCAAGCCGCTGCCGGGGTTGATTTTTTTACCCCGTGGCGTCTCCCGTGAGTTCACCCGGGCCTCGGATGACTTCATTTGTCGTTGCCAAGCTACCGCACAACAACCTCCATTCGCTCAAAGTGATCTCTGCAGAGCTGTAGCACAGCTCCACGTCTGTCAGCCGACGTCCGTGGAACCCGTTTAGCTATCTTTAATGGCCTATCTTTAATAATTCATGCTTCGGCTACGTCGTTCATTCTCCTTTGCGGTCAGTGGTGTAGAGAAATAAATTGAATTTTTGTGAACCGGAGCTTTTATCAGTCGTGTAAACGCTGGAAGCAGAAACGCTGATGTTAGACTCTAAAACTCAGCTCTCCGAAGCTTCTGTATACACAAATGTGGTCTGAATATGTGATGACTTGTGACATAAAAACAACATAATGTCTTATTTAAATTTACTCTCGGAATCGTAAAAAGGAGCGCGACGTGACACAAAATCAAAAGCCATTCCAGTCTTTTGTCAGAACCTTTATTTCCTGGTGTCTCTCCCCTGCTGTGATCTGAGTAATGCTGCTCTGATCTGAAATAAAAGGACTTTCATTGCAATATTTAACTCATGTATGCACCCACCACTCTGTAGGATTTCTGCCAAAATGAGCAGGAGAGTAATTCTGTAGAATAAACAAGAGTATTCCTTCAGAAGAAGACGTCAAATTCTGTTCATTTCCTCTCATTCCTGAAGAGAAAAGAGAGAGAGCTCTCAGAGTTTCCAGCTAACCAGGATTTCAAACCCACCTCCTCTCTCCTCCGCTTCCAGTGAACTGGCTGAAAGGGGAAGTGGGTTTGAAATCCTGGTTTGCTGGAAACTCTTAGAGCTCAGAGGAAATTTCAAGGTCTGAATTAAAGCTCTTCATAATGCTGAATGGTGTCTGAGACAAAGGGAATAAAAAGGAAGGGATCTCAGAAGGCGTTGGAGTCTTTTGCAGAGCCGTATTTCCAACACGAGCCAGGAAAGTGTCAGACTTTGAGGAAGTCTCCAGAATGACTGATGGAAGAAGGCTGTGTGTCTGAAGCTCCTTGTGAAAAATACTCCTCGTAGGTTATGTTTTTTTCAGTGACGTGTAAACTTCAACCATCTAGATGAAACAGGCAGTGTAACAAGAAGTAAATAAATCATCATGTTCATTGTAATAATAATCAAAATGAGCTATTTCATTTGGTTTCCCTCACAGATTTTCACAGCCATGTGCGTCAGGTGGAAGTCTAGCATTTTATTTAAATATTCTACTCCAGGCATCAACTAGCATGACAGAGATCGACATAAAATTACTGCCGTTTGCATTTTATTAATAAGAAAAAACAGAGACAGTGGTATTAAAGGAAAACACTTACTCTTATTTCACCATAACTAACCCTCCAGTTAGTGCTACTTAGGCATAGTTCCCTTTGTAAAGTTTTAATTGTGCTTCTTTTGCATAAATTCTATCACAAATGATATCACTGGTATCCAGATTTGTTCCAAGTCTTCCCGGTTTGTCAGTGAGGATGTCATGTATCCTCTTAAGATGGGGGCGCCCCTTGCCTCGTGGCCCTGTACGGAGTGTAATTGTTTGGTTAGTAAGAACTCTGCCAGATGGGTTTAAGAACAGCAGTTTGACCCCGTGAAGTAAATTTAGCTCCGAGGTCAAATTGTTTGCGACAGGGTGTAGAGATAAGGCCAGTGGACACAGGCGAGGCCTTTTCAGCATCTAAGACCAACATAAAGAGATCCTAAAGGATGTCTGGGTGAGTGTAGAATATTAAACCCTGTTTGTTCGGGATGAAGTCAGGTAGGGGCCAAGTCATCTTGCCAGAGTTTTAGCTAAGAATTTTTCATCTTTATTTAACTCATTGACTGCCAGCCATTTTCAGAACAGTTTTTTGAGCATTTTGACTGATTTTTCAAGAGCCACAGAATAGTTTGTGCTATGACTATGTAAACACCGAACACACCAAAAGAAAGAGTAGACTCTCTTCTTTCATCAAGAAAAAAAATTTGTTTCTAACTTATTCCGTTCTTCCTCGACTTGCCTCTCACCGGCGCCATTTTTCTCATAGCGAACCATTGCGTTTTTTTTAATTTGCCTACAATCTATGCTCATCTCCCATCAAAAGTGGCACTGCCACCTAGAGGGTAAATTTGTTAGTCCATACTCTGTCTAGAAGCCTGATATTTACGGAAAAACTTCAGCCGATCGTCCCCCAAGCCACTCGCGTTGAAAAACATAAAAGACGTCTATAGACGTCTTTGGCAGCTAATGAGTTAATAATGATCCCAGCATATATGGTCCCATGCACTCCGGATCCTTCTTCTTTTTGGAATCATTGTTATTGTAGTTTCATTTATCGTGGATAGATATTACCAACCTCAAAGGCCTTCTTGTACTGGAACTATGTTGCTATTTTATGGAACTCGTCCCATATTGTAGAACTAGAGGTATTCCAGTATTCATGTGTGCAGCATTGAGATAAAAGGCTTTCTCGAGTGACCGTTCTGTCAATCATCAGCTGCTGTTTAGCCACTTGAGTGGTCATCCCAGTCCCCCTCTCTGCCCAAAGAATGCACCGGGCAATGTGACCAATGACACACGGCAGGAGCTCCAGAAACAAGAAGAGACCGATGAGTGTCTGGTAGTTGGATGGAACCGCTCCCTTTTGATTTGACCATCATAAAAAAAAACTGATTCTACCATCAAATAAGCAAACAAAACAAATAAGGCTCATAAAGAAGATTTGATGAGACTATAAAATATGGGAAATGATCATTTAACCAAAGGCAAGGCAGTTAGTTTTTACCAAGCTTTTAGTACTCAGAGGGGATACATGAGTCTTTCCCTCATCTGCTTAACTCCGAAGTATCTGCATGGATTAAAATTTGAATAGAAAACATTTTATATTGCATCCATCAGTATTTTAAGTCATGACTGAGTGGTAAATGTACCTTTTTGCCAGTATTTTGAATGCAAAGCAAACTGGGCGATTCCATTTGTGTCTGTTTGTTATGTACGAGTTGTCTGTAGGATTGTTTTTACTGGTTAGGATAAAATATCTTCGTCTCATATACGTGTGCAGGACCTGGGCATGGAGTCCACCTCTCTGGACGACGTGTTGTACCGCTACGCCAGCTTCCGGAACCTGGTCGATCCCATCACGCACGACCTGATCATCAGCCTGGCCCGATACGTGCACTGCCCCAAGACGGTAGGACGCTACTCTCCCCCTGACCCCCTTTTCCCCACCTCACCTGTCAGAACTCATTTCTCCATCTCGGCTCTTACCTTAATCTGAGCGTAACGGTGATCATAAAGCAGAAGAATCATCAAACGCGGGGTTCGTAGCTGTGGAGAGGTTTTGATTGGTCCGGAGGAGGCTTGTATTTCTTATTTTTCACCACTCACTTGCACACACATGGAGTAAATCACTGAATCTACCACACGGCTGTACTCTCTCTCTTTCTCTCTATCTCTCTCACACACACACACACATGCGGACTGATGGGTGATTCATCGTAATGCAGCTATCAGATGATCTCCTGATTCTTTACGTCTGACCCTATTAGGTTGTGGAAGTGCTCTAAGTGGCCGTGTTTGTCCTTGAGGCAACCCGAGCTCTTTGTGTTTGTTCATTCATGTTGTCCGATATGTCATTGAGGGATTGGGTAAAAAAAAAAAAAAAGGGCGGGAGGAAGGAAGATTGACAGAGACGAAGATAGAAAAAGAAATGATGTGTCCGTGCTGGGTGGCGGTCGCCGATATGCTGCTGGCCTCTCGGCAAATAATGACTCCATTTTAATTTAGTCCCTCATGAAAAGGTCTCAGTCACAAACATTCGTCATGAAATTTGTCACCGTCCGGATGACATCATTTCTGCTGCCTCACAAATAAATGAAAAAACATCTGAGATGATGTTGATTTAATCTTTTGGGATAATTATCTATGCCCTTTACTATTTTCCTGTTCTCATCAAGACCTCGTGAAATACCATTCTAAAAAAAGAAAGTGGTGGAGAGGGTGAATGCATCTGTTTAACAGGCATATGTGACGAATGAAAAGACGCAAATGACTGTGTCAAAGACCCAATATTCATTTCATATTGCGAAGTAACTCTGGAGAAACTAGAATATTTGCTTCCACCTACAGTTGTGATGTCTGAGCCCTGCACAAGCACATTCTCATCACTGTTTTCCAGTTGGGGAGGCTAATAAAACCCCTACAGAGGGTGTCAAAAATTTGAAATATGATGTCATTTACACTGTGTGCTGTGTGTAAAATGGTGTCGCGAACTAGCAGAGAACCTTTTGAGGACTTTTGGCATGAAGCTCGAAACGAAAGGCTGGACATTTCCATGTGGGAGGAAGCTACTGGCTCACGAGAGTTTGAGGTGGCCGACGGAGGCTTCCAGTGTTAGACAGAGATGAGAACAAGCTCAGACCTTCTTTGGTCACTGGGAATAGCAGATCTTTGAATTCATAATAAAGCTAGCAAGGAATATTTAGGTAACGAAGAGCTGAAAACAACCCATTAGAAGATTAGCAGTGTTGGATTGAGATATTATGAGTAGTTTGGTCCATTTAAAACCGTTTCTGGTATGTTCTTCATTTAAACTGATCTGAGATCACTCAGTCAGGAAATAGTTTTATTTATTTCTTAGAATTTGAGACCATTTTTTCACTAGGTAATTGACTAAAACATTCCAGCTTGTATGGATTTTTTGTCCCTCTTGTAACAGATATTTTATTCAATTTCCATTTGAATAACCTCATCTATATTTCTATCTAGTTTAATTCTTATAGCACAAATAATAATAGGTCAGAGTTATATTTTGAGTTAATTAATCTAGAACATGCATATAATTGATCATTTTACCAGAAAATGAGTTTTTACTGTAAGTTGCTGGATTTCCTAGAATGTTCAGCATCAAGTCATCATTTTTCATCTATTCAGATATGTCCTGCTTTTCCATTAATCTACTGACAGCTGGACATATTTCAAGGTCTTTCTTTTTTAATATACTAGTTTTAACAGGTTGGACAAGTTTAAGAGGGTTTTAGCCCGAACCAGGGCCAAATGTCAGCTGGATAATCAGATTTACAACAGAACAAACTCAACACATTGATTAAATATAAAGATTTTTCCAAACACTCTCACTTTTTTCCCCTTTTCAAATAGAACAATTCAACTGTTCCAATCTATGGCCACTTATTCTCCTGCAGTGCAAAGCTAAATTCTTTTTAGAGGCAAAACATCTTTTTTAAGTGGTGTTACATCTGTCAAACAGCATTTAAGCTTTTGGGGTTTTTGGGTTTCCCGTTGGTTATCCGTCTTTTATTATCTTTTTTAAATAAAAAATCATTTAGTTCACTTTCCACCCGCCACTGCCCATCTGGGCCGGCATCTCATGCACATTTCCCCAGTCTCAGTGACAACCACGGACAGTTTTTTACAGAAAAATTATTCCAGAAGTTGTAAAGTCGAGTAATAATTGATTCTGTCTGAAATGGATAAAAAATATATTCTTTGATGAGGAGTTGCAGAATATTGGGACGAAGTCACAGAACCTGCATACCGATCTAAGTGGAGATAGAGGACTTTTTCTAAGTTACCTTGTCCCCCACCACAAACTGTAAAAAGCTTTGCATCCAGCATACAGAAACCTTGGATTGCAGGAATTCACTGTTTGGGTCATAAAAATGTTACATTTTGAACACTTCATGGTGAATTTCTTGACATGTATAAGCCCAATAATATATTTTCCCTTTGGGTTAAAGTGTTTTTTATTTCGTTCATATCATTTCTTTAATTTCATACTTAAGACATCAGTTCTATGTTCTCAACCAAAAATATCCCTCACCTAATGAATGGGATGATTGATACCGTGTTTTTCCAAAGTAGGAAACACTGAACTGGATTTGTCGTGTGATGCTTTAATGTAAAGGTCCAACAGCAGACCCAAATGTAGACAGAGATGAGACCCTTTAACTGCTTGATAAACCTTTGGGGGAAAAAAAACACAGAGACAGAAAGAAGACAACAGAAAACCAGTGGACTATACTCTACGCAACGGACTCAAATAGAACAGAAATGGGGAGACCGAACTACTTCAACTAGGAGATAGAAAAGCACCAACCAGAACCGTTGGGGGCAGTGACTCACGGTCTCATGCTACGACTGGTCCAGAAACCATCTGCGCAGCGGGTCGGGCTGCTGGTGATGTCATCACAGGTCTGCGGGAGAGAGACAAAAGGTCAGTGCAAAGGCCTGCCGTCCGTTTCTGGAAAAGCAAATGGCAGGTCGGTCATTTCAGGTCAGTTGTTTTCAAGGCTTGACGCCCTCAAAGAATATGGATTCCTGCAGAATGCTAACACCTTTTACTCCGAATCATTTCTTATTCTTTCTGGATATGACGTCATGGACAGCTGCACGAAGAAACAAATGTCTGTTCATCCAGAGTCTGACTCCAGCACAGCGGGAGGAATCCAGCAGGGAAACGGCTTCCTCCTTCTCTTTATAACTTTTTCTAATTATTTATTCTCAAATGATTTTTTCCAGGTATCGTGTTTTTTTTGTGGGTTTTTTTCCATTTTCTGTCGGCTTAAGTGGATCCATCAGTCCTACTGTAGCTACTGTACATTTTTCTGGAGCCATGAATCCAAGACCTGATTTTGGTTTTAAAATAATGTATCTTTGCCTGGATATGGACAAACTCGACTCGGCTGATTTGAATGGTTTGATTTCTTTATACATTTTTAAAAACAGCTTAATCTGCATTATTTGAATGTTTAAACAGATCTTTTTTTATATATATTTTTTTTTTTACAAAAACCTTGTTTCTAAACTGTAAGGGGACCTTGACAGATTAGGGCTGTCTTCTTTGTTTTAGTCTAAAGCCCAAGCAGAGAAATGAAAATAATAACTCCTTATTTATCATATTTGCATTTAAAAATAAATACCACATGCTGACTTCTGTTTATGTAACTCTTGGGCAGACAAGGGTTCAATTATAAATCCAGTCTCAGTAGAAGAACCATCCTCATCAGGTCTGGTCCACAATTCTCCAATGTGAAAAGCAACAGATATCTCTAACAAATATCTGCCCACTCAGCCATATGTCCACATGCAACAAACCGTGCTTTGCAGGCTGTTCACGTCTATATTTACATTTCAGTATCACACATCTTCACATCTTCCCTTTTTAGTGGTAAATATTATTAAGCTGCCTTAAAGGTTGGGAGATGAACAGATACTTTCTGTTTAAGATGACAAACTGGACTTGGAACTGTAATTGATAATTCAAATAATGAGTTCACATCACTAGTGGTGTGTTTCTATTTGTTATGACAGCTAACAGTGTGTAGATGGAAAATAAGCTCTGAGACTTATTTTTACTCGACTAATTTGTAATTCTGTCATTATTTCCTGCTCTTTACCTTTAATTCTAGAACTCATATTGATCTTCTAATGTAGTCGTTAAACTGAACTGAATTAACTGAACTAAACCCTACTATTCATGTTTCATTTAATCTTAAATGAAAAATGTCAAACTTTTTGTCCTAAATGGCATCACAATAAGAGGAATAGTGACATGAATACTATTTATTTCATACACATTTGTTTTGCCAAGAAAATCTTTATTGATATTGATTAATACTATCTATTGTATCTTTGTTTAAATAATTCATGTGCATTAATGCCACACTTGAAATTACAAATGGGGGGAGGGAAACAAGACAGAAATATACAAGTGAAATCCAGGAAAACAAGACAGCTGCTGCCTCTGGTCTTCACAAGGAGAAGCAGCAAGAGCTCCTAAAGGAAGACAAAAAGACAAAAAGCCGCATCGATAGCAGCAGCACGGGGATGGAAATGCACTTGTGCACACTGAAACCCACAGGAGGCACAGCGGCGGTATGATGAGTGTGTGTGTGTGAGCGTGAATATGCTAAATATCTGACACGAAGTGTGATCGGTGAAGGGTGCAGGGGGCTGGCAGGAAGAGCCCCTCGTCCATGTAAGCCAGGTTAGGAATCAACCATGAACCCCCCCCAAAACACAACAAAAAAAAGTAAAAGAAGGGGCCGAAGAGACCACACTACGACTACAAGTTACCATATATCTATTGTTAGAATTAGTCTAAAATGAGTCATTTTAGCATAGCATGCTATAACATGATCTATGCTAATTACTGATTGTCTTATTCTTTTTAGAACTTTACTTTTTGTTAAAGTCTCTGGCTGTGCCTCTTCTGGCTGAGTCTCTTTTTCTTTCTTTGTTGGATTAGATCCACACCTTTAGGTCAACACATACACACGCCATTTGTTACCACATTCCAATGTTATCTACATGAATTAGGACCTGGCCTGTTCATGACCCGAGGCGACTAGCCAATGGGACGTGGTTATGTCCAGTCCTCCTTTGAAGAGGCGGACCGAGCGAAGGAGATAATGCCCATCACACCCAGATGTTTGACCCTGAGAGATGTTTTTGTCTGTGAAGAACCCAGCGCTGATACACTTTGCCTGTGACCTAATAAATGTCAATTTTTATACTTTTATAATTTTCCAACTAAAGAATCGGGCTAACACTCTATTCACTGTATTTAGCAGCTTCACATAGCGTCTATTTCCATCAAGCTCCTCTATATGAGGCGTGTTTGGACAGTGTTTTTTCATGATTAACACTAAAAGGAGCAAATTTGAGACTTTAGTCTGCACTGAAATTGCCCCCGAATGAATGAATGAGTCTAACAAACCGCTTAGTGCCTCCCATTGTTGTGTAAGGAGGCCTAATTACTGAGCTACACTCAAACAGCAGTTTGGCCTACGTCAGTTTGGCCTTTGGGGGGGGTGGAGTGGCTGTTCACAACACGATGGAAACACTTATCACCTTGGGAGAAATACGCTATTTCTGCAGACGGGTGAAAATCTATGAGCCTTCCTAAAAAAAAAAGTCAGGTGACACAGTGACATTTCATCCCTTTTGCAGAAATACAGCCTATCGTGGCCACAAATTAGATTCATAATGCTGATCCAGAATCTTCACTTGATTTTTATTCCTATTACTATGAATAATATAATAAACAGTAATAATAATTAAATTCTTAAGTAACAGATATAAACATTATGTATTTATGCTTGTATTAAAACAGTTCCAATGCCCACTTTATGCAGAACAGAAAGCTCATTAAACGTCAAATTTATACATACAAGTTCATTTTGTTTAGTCATACACAGTGTTTTTTGTACAGATATTGTAATAGTCCATCCTATAATATTCCTAATATTCCTGTGTACATCCTACTTACTCACACATCCTCAAAAATGACAGGCATTGGTTAACTGTGACTGATGGCAGCCGAGTTATTTAATTTAGCTCAATTATTAGTCAATGTTGAATGATATTGTTGAGGGGCACAGACAGACTACACAAATAATACAAAAATCAGTGTGGAGAAGGGTCTTCTCTGCCTCCAGCTCCGGGTGAACCTCTTTTTGAGCTGTCAGATGTCTTGATGGAGATTGAAACTTGGCTGGATTTCCCCTTGAAATAGCTTCTTTTTTTTTCCACTGTGTTCAATTTAGACAGCGGTCTTTAAGAAGTCCTCGATTCTACAGAAAGTCCTACAGCATCTCTTTTAATAAATTACATTCAAGTTAATTTTCACAAAAACATTTTGAATGTTGCCTTCATTAATTACTTGATTTGGATTGGAATCATCATACTTGGTTTGGATTACAGAACGATTTTTAAAAGCAGTAAAAAATACTTTTGGTTTATGACCCCCAGTATCACACATCAATGCAGATCACTTCAGTAAAATTATTTCTCAATACTCTGGCTGTTTTATCATCAAGGATACATACATGTTGCATTTCTCTGGGTTCAGGAACTCCTGGTACAATTCCCAGAGATTTAAATGATGCGATTTCTGATCTCTATCAGAACATTAGACAAACGTCCTTGTTGTTTGTGCAGCCTCTCTTGGTATTTTCTACGTCTATAGCATCATTTAAGCATGATGGTCATCACAATGCTGGTCCAGCCATCCACTATCTTTTACAATAGATGGGAAACCCAGGGATCCCTCTCCCAGAAACAATCTCCAGCCCATCCCGGGGTATCCCGGCATTCCCTGGCCAAAGCGGATAGATACATATAATCCCCCCAGACTGTTCAGGGGTTGAAAGGAGGACAAATCAGTTCATTGAAAGCATTGTCTTTGACTCAATTCCCCTTATTACAGTAATGGACCGGAGCAGCACCCTCGTTTTTGCCGACGAAGCTCCAGTCCTCCCGTCAGCCTCTCGGAACAACCTGTGATCACTCACGAAGAGAATGAGACGCTTAAACTCCTCAGCCTGGGGCCGATATTCATCACTGATGAATAGGGAGGGAGCATTCCATCTTTTTCCTGTTAAAATACAACTACTTCAGGCCATTTTTTACCTCCGTTGGATAGAAACATGGTAGACTTGTGATAAATCAAAGCTGGTACTGGTTTGATCCGTTAGTTTTATTGCAGCTCATCTTTGAAATGAGCTTGTGACTCATAGCTTATGTGGCACTTTTTGAAAAAGTCATCTATAAACTGTTGATTTGGCATATTAAATAGCTTTTTGCAGGCATTATTTCAACTGATTATTCAGTTACACCTGCAGTCCATACTTGTTATGTATTCAGATCCCAGAAATCCCACACAGTTGCACACAGTTTTTTTCTTCTCACCTAGCAATGCTTTTGTCCTCGAACTCATAGTTTTGCACCTTGGATTGTCTTTTCCCAACAGGAAGGGGACTCACTTGGGGCGATGGAGAAGGTCTGTCGTCAGCTGACCTACCATCTCAGCCCCCACTCTCGGTGGAGGAGACAGGGCCTGCTGAAGAGGAAACCCCAGGCATGGTGAGTGCCATGAGTGTGTGTGTGTGTATGTGTGTGTGTGTGTGTGTGAGATGGCACCAGTGTGTCATCATCTGCTGCTGCTATGGTGTGATGGAAAAATCTTCCATTGTATCTGCCCTTTTTATTTAGTCTCACACTGCAGAAGAAATCTCTCTGTCTCACACCTCAACTGAATTTGTTTTTTCATTTTTGTTGTTTCGCCCTAAGTAGGATTTTTAGTTCCAGTCAAAGTGTCAGCTTTTAGTGTTCATTCGCATTTCGGCGGTTAGCTTACTCCCCATTCCTCTTCTCGACAGCCGCATTAAGCAGAAACCACATTTTAAAGACTGCGGCCAAATGGAAGCAGAACCACTGATGGGATTGATTTATATAAAGCAGTGTTACACAATATGCAAATATGCCATCAAACACAATGTATTAATCCATTTGCTCCTTGCCGAGCTCCGGTGCTGACGTTACAGAATAGTCTAAGGCTCAGAAAAAAGGTTTAAGATTTACTTCGTTTTGTCCTGAGCCTGTCTGAATGCATGCGCTGGATTTAGAGCCCTGATATTAAAAAAGGTTAATCCGGCACAGTCTTCGTGGTTATAAATCTCTATTTCTCTGAAGTATCTGGACAAAGAAACACAGAACTTGGACTTTCATAGGTAAAGAAAAAAAAGCATTGAGCCCAAAGGAATCCGAGCCTCTGTCCAAAAAAGTTCAGAAGGTCAGTGGTTTTAATCTGCCAATTAAAAGTGGAGCAGAACCTCTCACCTCTCTGTATTTTACATGCCAAACCCTCCTTGTATCATGCTTCTATGAATTATTTTTCAATATGTTCTCTGAATTTCAGACTAAAAATAGTAAATCGCTTCAGCTCTGTCTGTAATAATCCTGACTGCTTTCAGGTTCTTGCTATAAAACAGATCCTGGTGGAAGCAGATGGTAGAGAAGTGGCTTTGTGTCTGGACACTGTGAAAAAAGACTTTTTAGGAATAAATTGCTCCTCCTCAGCTGCGACAATAAACAGCCGGCTTCACATCTTCTCTCAGAGAGCTCGCATCCTGGAATGTATTAAGGCGAAATAATAAATTCTGCGCAGGCCTGCAATCCACACATGGAGCACACACCATTAATGCTTTTTCTTAAAAACACACACACTCCCAAACACATCTGTGCCAATTATTTCAGCCCCACTCAGAAAAGAAAGAATAAAAGATAAAAAATCTATCTAAGCACATGCAAGTATGTACAATTTCGATCTAACTCAAATTCCCCAGACTTTCCGTGGCAGTTTTAATGGGTTGTGTTAAGGATTCTAATCCCATTTAAGATTTACACTTTTCACTGTCACTGTTACTGTTCTCTCAGTGATAACCCACAGAATTGTCTGGTCCTCATTAAATAGAAAATCTCACTCACAGCCACCGTTTCTCATTTGTTATTTGGATCTTCTTCTTCATCCTTGACCGTGAAGTATAGATTTGCTGAAAACTATTAAAAAACAGAAGAAAGAACACGGCGACGGTTTGCTTTAACCAAGAAAAATGCTTCATCATTTCCTTCTCTGTGTGTTCTACACCTGCTGTGCCACTGAAAAACACACAGATGGTCAATTTACATGTTCGCTCCAAGTTTTAATGAGTCGCTCACCAAGACTTTTGGCACAGGGGAATGCACCTCACAATCCTCTGTGACCTTTGACCCCCCAGCACATGCTGGTTTCCCGATGCATTATTTACAGGGGTTCATCTCTGTGTTCGATTTCTCCATGCAGCATCTGTTTCCACACTGTGTTCCCGTTGAGTTAAAGCCCGTCCTGTCTCAAAAGGAACTGGTGTGTGTGTGTGTGTGTGTGTGTGTGTGTGTGACATTGCAGTTTTGCACTAATGCTCCTTTATGAGATACTGACAAGCCTCTGAGCTAAGGCTGGTTAACCAAGATAGATTGAATCATCTCTCTGAGGGCAATATAAACGTTCTGTCCTTTTATATTGTTCTGAGCATGAAAATGGGAACTATAGGGAGGGGTGGACCTGCTTCTGTCCGGCTACTCTCCCATAAAGGCCTGTTTGATGTTACGATGCAGAGCTGGTTGACTCAAACTCAAAAAGGTCTGTTGCTTTAAAATGTTGCACCACACTAGTTGAGGCCCCTGAGCAACCGATAACTCTCAAAGATTTAGAAACGAAGACCTGGCTTTCAGCAGAAAGACAGAAACCAGATTCAGGTGCAGGCCACGCAACTACATTGTGTAAAGAATGACTCATTTTAGATGGTCAATTTGAGGTGTCTCTCTTTGTAAATGACATCAGATCAGTTAAAAATTTAGATTTAATTGGACAAATCTACCCAAAATGAAAGGGATGTGTTCAACCCACTGTGAAAACATCAGTCAGAATTCTCTCTGTTTAAAAAAAAGAGACAGTTTCAAGACAGGTGAGCTAATCCTAAAAGCTCCTCAGAGTCAAAAACCAGCTGACAGCCACATTAAGGTTCTCTATTTTTGTCACTTCCATAGGAAAACAACCCCTTAAGATGCAACCTTACTTAAAAACAACACAAAATATCCCTTTATCAGCCACGGCAATACTCAGTCAACGTCAGAAAAATATGGGAGGTGGTTTATTATTGTACATTTAACAGATGCGTTTGGCATTTTTAAGAGAAAAAGCCGGCCTTATAGTCTCTTGGCTGTCTGCTTCATTAGTTTTATTAAGTCGTCTCTGGTTTCTTACGAGTCTACAATGAGTGGGTCTAGAGCTAAATGTGTGGAGCATCCCACGGAGCAGATCTCCTCTCTGCTTCACAGTCAAGGTCCGAGCCCCCCGCAGAGAGAACTGTGAGACGGCGGCTATTCTGAGCCGTGGCCGCTTTCTAACAGCATCACAGCAAGACGTCGCTCTCCAAAAGAAATGGAGTTCACTTTGCACAGTGAAAACTAGCAGAGAAGATGGTTTTTGAACAGATATGCTGTTCATTACATATTGATTGGAAGTCATTTCAATCACAATAACAGCAAACTGTAGGAATTCACATGGTAGACTTATGTGACCATAGAATAAAGCACTTCTTTATTTAACACAAAGACATGCAAATTCAAAATTTGAGGCAAATAATTTAATAATTTCCATCTAGGATTATTCAAATATTTCTGATTCTGATTCTGATTCAATTTGGAAAACCAAATTTTCAAAATTTCTGCCCCATTAGATGTGTTTCCCAGAAAATCAGTGAGTTAAAATTTCCAGTGAAATCCAGCTGTGGATGATGATGGATTAGGCAGTTTAACCGGACTGCAGTGAGTGCTCCATTTTACAAGAAGAAGAACGTATTTATCCTCTGAAGTATGTCTGTTCCTGCTTTGATTAGTCTGCAACATTCAACACAAGACAACCTATCAACAGCAGCCTGATTCCCAGACTGTGAATTTTTTTTTCCTGTGTATGTTTTTCCAAAATGTATCTGTAAGAGTGGTGTGGTTTGGAGGAGAGTTCTCTGCATCTGTTCAGAGAGTCTGAGGTTGTGGTTTTACAGGGCACAGTGCTGAAAATGGGTACTGGATTCGACTGGTAAACTGGAGTTAAAGCGTGTTTGCTGACAGAGGGTGCTAATTTGACCCCTTTTAGGTTGAACAGAACAGCCAACAAACAATTTAACTGGCAGCAAATCGATACTGTGTGAAGCATTGTGTTGGGCATCTCAACAGCCCTCCACGTGTTACAGGCTCTACTCTTAAAGGGGCTCTGCATGTGGCTGTTTAGGGTCGGACTATGTGTACCAGCTTCTTCTGCTCTGGGTCAAAGCCACGTAGTGATTCTACTCAGAACCTCATCATCTGGGTGGCTTTAGGTCGTCTCTGGTCTCGTCTTGTGAAGTTTAAAACCAATGTTTAGGAGGGAAACGTGCAATCTGGAAACTGGGCTGGAACTGATGCCACAACGTCAGAGCTCCAGAGGTGTGTCCAGGTTTAGTAGGAGGAATCCTCTGGAGGATGGACCTGAGACAGACTTTTGGGACCCAGATAGGAGCAGAGCGCCGGAGAGCGTTGATTAAGAATCTAATAATGAATCGTCAGGGAGCTGTAGCTAGAGAAGTAGGCACGATGTTTGCCAGGATCTCTTGTGAGAAGGTTGGTCAACTTGAAAAACAACCTGATGCACATTATGGAAAACTTTTCTGAAGAAATTGTGTACAGATTCTCCAATCTCCGTGTAGTTTGAAGACAGTTCATATTCTTCCGTTTTTAGAACCTGAATGAGGCTCTAATGATGCTTACTGGTGGTAATCTTAAAACTTAGCTTTTTGTTGGTTTGTTAGCATTCTAAGTAACAGTGCCAGATAGATTGAACCCAAGCCTGGTTATAGGGATGAACTCTTCCATTTCCCCATGACGTCAGAGACCCGTTGCAACCAGATTTGATGATGCTCAATTCCTTTCTTAAAGCTCATTCATATTGTTTCACGAACAGGATGTTAATTTCAGCCTTCTTATATCATCTGAATCATTCCTACTTTCAATTGAATAATCAGTTTTAAATTTGAGCTGCCAACTTCCATCAGCGTGCCCAAATGGAAACTTTTACTTTACTCATGAAATATTAAAGCAGGCTAGAACTGACGGATAGGGCATAATGAGGCTTCAGAATTAATCTCCTGGCTGCGAAAGCACTCGAAATCCTTTTCTCTCGATTTGAATCGTGCCTTTTCTCCTTCCCCTGACTCATACTCTAAATCATTCTCTGTGCCCTTTATAACAGCTGCCAAATTGTTCACTTGTCTCTGCCCTCACTGAGCTGCGTAGTAACCCAGGGGCCGCTTTAACTCCACAATGACTTTCTGTGTTCAGAGCATTTAGACAAAAAAACAGAGGAGAGACTTGCACCCCCCCCTTTCCAAAAGTACATTCGGTTTTAACAGCACCAGCAGCAACACTGAGATCAGGAGAGGATGCAGCTTTCAATGTAATTCGATATTCCTCCGATAACTCATCATCTTTGGCTCCAGGCTTTAGGAAGAAACT